ACTTTACACCTACATATAATAATTATTAGAATATTCGACACGATGCATCGCTCGTCGCTACTTTTGATTTTGGATATATGTATAAGGAAGGAGATTCTATAATTTATATTACTTTTGTTGTTTAGTTAAAATATAACGCCACATATATATATATATATATCTACATAGGCCAAATAAGAACAAAGGAACATTACAAATTAAACAGTTAAATCTTCCGGTATATTCGCTGCAAAAGCGAAAATCACATATTTTGAAATATGAGTCGTGCATATGGCTGCAGCAGTACCTATATACCTATAATATGTATATAATGATAACATTTGAGTATTTTGCTGGGATGTGAAAATAAATGTTTTGTGTTTTAAACTAATGTTATTTATTTTAGTATCTATGCGTGGTTGATTAGAAACATAGTTATATTAGAAATTCAAATGTTTGTGAAAATTATCGACATTTTATTATTGGACATCTTTATAGTGTCATCACTCTTGCTATACTCAACACCTATCTTGGACCTATTTTGGTTGCGCCATTCGACAGCGTCGCGCTATATACGTGTAAACAGTGCGCTACTTCCAATTACTGTGAATTAATATATTAAATCGTCGCGTTCATCATATTATTATATAAAAAATAAAAATATTCGTATACTACCGCCATACACCTACGACGAGATGTTTATTGTAAATTTGATCGTATGTATTAGGCATATAAAAATGTGTAGTCATCCAATGAAATTCTGCATAGGTATTATTATGGTTGACCGTCATCGTCGTGTTTTCCAATATTTCTGTGTATGCGAATGATATTTAGGAGGTAGTTACACTATAATATTGTATTGTGTATTAATGTATTTTTATGGCGGTCATCGTCTATTAACCAGTCAAAATGACAGAACACCATACGGGCTACCCTGCTATTAGTGCACACTGATATAATGATAATATAAAATTATTATTATTGTGTAAGTCGCTTGTGTCCCCACTCAAACACTTCTAAACGCGTGCGGCGTTTTATTGTAATTACGATAATTGTACTGGTAAACTATAATAATAATAATATGGTTATAGTAGGCAACTACAATAATAATATAACAACCCACTTGTATGAAATAAGTTTTCGTATATTTTTTTATTTAAACCTACATTTTTTTTTACCGTTTTTACTACTTTCGTCGTATGACCAATTCAACTCTCAATTTTATACAATTATTTTGCATGTGCCTTGCACTCTACACATTCGACATAATTGTAGTTATAAACAATTAAAAGATTTAAGTAGCCACTCATGAAAATGTTTCAACATTTAGTTACAATATGACGTTTAGTATTAATAATTGTTTCGCCTTCTCGATTTATAAGATATTATTTTGTTGGACTTCGGGTATATTGTTATATTATAATGTTATAAACGCCTGGCTTATTTTATCGTCTTGTTCTCGCCGTGTACCTACGTTAGGTTAGGTCGTACGCTTACGAGTTTTATTTGTGTCCTATAGAGACGTTATATACCGAATATTGGCAGTCTGTTTATTGTAATTATTTGGACACAGGTACATGGTGTTATTTAAAGTAATTATTATATCATTGGTCGTTGTACATTTGAGCTAGTATTTGTTATATTATGTAATAACAATGTTGTATGTCCGTTGACCATTATAATACTATGATTCCCGAACAACGAGCGATTATATTCTTAATATTAGACCTTTAATAATAAATTATTGTGGTTGGGTTTGGATTCGTCGCTATATCGGGAAGATAATGCTCCGAGCATAACAATAATGTCGCATATGTATATAACATTATAGTAGTAAAATAAGTATACTGTTATCGTACTAAAGATATGATACACGCTATGCGCCGAATCTGGGTGGAAAATTCGTGTGGACACATAATAAAACCGTTGAACTGCTGTAAAAATGTCAACTATAAATTGCCATCGTCGATAATAATGTATAGGTGCACAATTTTACATGAAATAATTATTATAGGCCCGCGTACTGCAGGTTAGTGAACCCTAGGTATAGAAATCTCCCAGGATTGCTGCAGGTATATCGGTACTATTTGGGCATTATATCACAATATTGCTTAATATATTTAATTATATTGTGTGTTCAAACCTGCTAACATAATATCAGCTATAACGTCGACCTTTCTGAAATTAAAACACATTGTCCAAGGTCGTTGAACGATTCGCGAATAGCGTTTTCCACTTTTCGTCTAAATGCATTCGTAGGACGTCAAGTAATTTGATATTTCTGTCGGGTAAATACAATTATTGTAAACGTAGCATAAAATATCATACCTATACTTTTAAATATAATTTTATTTTTATCCGCGAAATTATATTTAATTTTTGACTTTGGTTTAAAAACTTTGTTCAATGTAGTACATATACGGCCAAACGTTTCACATTTTGGTTTGAATATCAAACATTTTTAAGCTATATTACTACATAATGTTAAGTGTACTTTATCAAAAACTCGTTCCCTAAAATACCGTAGTAGCCAATAGGTATACACTATTATTCTCTATGATTGTACAGCGACTCGAGTTATATAATTCTTGGATTCTCTAATATTAGGTAATAATAATATATTTAACAGGTATTTTCGGTAAATATTATTGAAATAGCATTAGGATCGAATCAAACTTCATTTTTTTTTTCAATCGAGAAATTGTGGGTATTATATTATTTCCAATGGTAGTATCCACTTTCAATTTTCTATCAGTCTATAGGTACTCCAATTTTTACATCTAATACGCAGTAGGTATTTTATATTATGTAAACATGCAAATTTATAGAATATTGTAGGTCAGGGTTTTAATACCGCAGTAAAACTAGTGCGCTCGTCAGAATAGCATTATCAATTACCTCTGTGCAGATATAAAAAAAGATATATGTATACAAGGCGATCATCGTATGATTTTGCATATTAAGAACATAATATTGTACTTACATACACAATATGTGATCACATAATATCATATTGCAGATGCGGTCGTTGCGGGAACACAAACTATCGCACTAAAATAATTAAAAATAAGTGTATAACACAATGGCGTGTTTTATTATTATATAACGCGTAGGTATACATCGGTTATATTTCGTTACAACAGTTTCGCGGTGATCGTGTACGCTGTTTATCTTAATCGACACGACCTACGCGTACCTACCTACATAAAATGATGTATGACCATCGTCGCTACAAGTTGAAATGTATCAAATTTAGACGAAAAATAATGTTCATCATAGTTTACGCGCCACCGATTTAACCGTCTGTCTCACGTTTATAGGAGAAAAAACCGTCCTAAACTGACGGAAAATCCTGATATAGTTTACAGCTATATTTACACGGATATTTTACAGTCGCGCCGCGCTGCATACGCGTGTAGGCAACCGTCAACGCACCATCTGCTAGCCGTTTACGTGTGTTTTCAGAGTTCAGATGTAGTTCCTATTATTATGGAAACTTTATTAACATTATTGTGCCGTCTGGTTTGTGAGTTCACATAACGTCACAATACATGATGGCTGCTGTAGGCATGCGTACGTGCTGTTGTATACCCTGTAACTATATAATGCGTATGTGATGAGAAGTATTTTGTGTCTAAGGTATTTTGGGCCGACCATTAACTACCTACCATCCTGTATAGTATTGTTCCAGCTTGTTTTCCAATTTAAATTTTTTTATACCTACCCACCTATATTATACGCAATAACTGTTTAATCTTTGCGCTATCGGTGTACAATAGTAATAATATTTATGTTGTCATCGGAAAACGGGCAAGTTGTAAAGAACTGAAAAAAAGATGTTGACAAAATAATATTTATCAGACAACGGGTGCAAATTAAAAAATTACACAGAGATAGGTTATACACATAAAATGTGTTAGTTTATAAGTAGGGTACTTACCTATATATATATTATAAATTCCATGTCTGTGGTGCAGGCGTGAAAGAATCAGTTTATTTCCGTTCTGAAAAACTTAAACGAGTTTCAAAATATATTCCAAATCAAATTTATTCCGCCGTCTCCATGACCCTAACCCCTGCTGCAGGTTGACAATAATAAAAACTGAGTGGATTTAAAATAAAAAATAAAAAGGAAAAAAATGTAAATCGGGTTTTAACGCCGTGACAAGTAGAGATGGCTCTAAATAAAAATCCATTAGTTCGTTGAGACGTTAATTGGATATTTTGCCTGAAGAATCGGAATCGTGATTAACGGAGACGCTGTATATATATATTATGTATGTGTGTGTGTGTGTGTGTGTGTAGTGTATTATACAGGATGGGTGGTGGAGAAAAGTCGCGGTGTTCAGGTCGGCGGCTTCGTGGGCGGGTGTGTATAATGCTGCTGCTGGTCGCGAAGAGGGAAACGATGAGAGTTATTCAAATTCCATTAAACGGAGGGCGGCGCTTAATTGGAATTAATAAAAAGGATCGCCGTCGGCGGCGGGTAAAAAAAAATCTGCATAAGTTAAAAAACATTTACACCGCTCCGCCATCCCACCCGATTGGCAGACCCGAGCCCAGCCCGGGGAGTTATCCCTGATTTTTTCCATCGCTCTCCTTCCGCGAAAAGTTTAACCGCGTGAAATCGTCCCGGCGGTTTTTTTCCCTCGTGATGGCTTCCGCATTAAATCCGGCCGCGTGAACCGACGACGGAATTGTTTAAACAATTTGTGCGATTTCCCTCGTATAATATATATTGTCTATATATCACACCAGCTCAGTATATACCTAGCGGCTATAGCTTATCTCTTTGATTATAAAAAAAAAAAAATACTTTATAATATTATAATATAATATAATCAACCTACAGTCGTCACATTCACGCTCCCGCACACACGTGCGTCACAGTGTTTGACCTGGACGTAATATATTATATTGTCATTTTGTCCTGCCCGTGAATGAAGCAATGGTCGTAAATCATTATATATACAGTATTATGTGTGAGTCACATTATTTATATCGTTTTTTTTTCGTTTCAGGTACGGCATGGACCTGAACGGCGCCAGGCGGAAAAACGCCACCCGAGAGACAACCAGCACGCTGAAGGCTTGGCTTAACGAGCACAAGAAAAACCCGTACCCGACCAAAGGTGAGAAGATCATGTTGGCCATCATCACCAAGATGACGCTCACGCAAGTGAGCACGTGGTTCGCTAATGCCCGAAGGCGGTTGAAGAAGGAGAACAAGATGACTTGGGAACCCAGAAATAGGGTCGAAGACGAGGACAACAACAACGAGGATGACCGAAAGAGCCCAGACCCAAAAGATCTCGGTAAGTTCCTATACCTAGTAATTTTTTTCGTGTTTATTTGAAATATTTAGGAACAGTCGCTTGTACAATGGTAGAGGTTTGATTTCTGCCTTTATGTAAATGATAATAAAATATTTCCTCGTTATTGCTGGGATAATATGTAATAAACAATTAGGCGACGTTGCGAAATGATGTCTACTTCTCATTGTATAAGTACCAACCCCCTACCCCCTTTAAAAAAAAATGTTTATTTTTTCTGATATGACTTACTCATTCAAAATAGAAACATGCATACATAGATAATGTAAAGTAGTAGGTGTTATACGTGTAACACATCGAAATAAATTAAGAAGTATAAAATTTAAATTGAGATAAAAAAAGCTACTGGATTGACATTATATTTTCTCATCTGGTTGTGCTTTACTATTTGCTGCATTGATTTCACTTCGTCGGCATAATCGTATTCTGCGGGTCCTATCTAAATTTCCATTTGTACATTGTTAATTGCTTCACCTTTTTACTCTCCATAAACAAATATATACGTGTATATGGATCAATGTTGTCTATAGACTCTTATTCGCTCCAAGTATTATAGAGGTTAGGTTAGGTTTATCTAATTATAATTATTAAAATGTATAATATCGTGTAATAAAGAAACCCGTCTATACAACGTGTCGGTTGTAATTATATATAAAAATAACCATGAATGTGTACAAACCACCCGTGTGGTTCGAAGTCAAAGTTTCGCTTACTGACGAGATCCTTTTTGGTGAATTCGTGTTTACTATCGTTTTATCAATGTTGCAGTTCGAACGGAACAGCTCAATTTCGAACGCATGTATGAATCCAATAATATAATGTCATGTGTATGATATTGTCGCGTGGCTGTATAAAACAACCTTTATCGTGTCCGACACCTATGTGCTTGCAGATGCATTTTTACGGATTATATGCATAATTCCTACTGTACTCCGTTTTCCGTATCTAATTCGCCGGGTCGATCGATACGAATATTATTGTACGCCATCAATCTGCTGCTCCCCTCACTCCGTATAATATACAATTTTACATCAACGATTTATTTTTTTTTTACCAGATCCAAGCATATAAAACGTACACACGTCGAGTTCGTATATAAGCACTCGATTGCAGTTTTATTTACTATTATTATTATTGCTTGAACACTCCGCAGCAGTACGAGCGACCCGAATCACGCGCCCCGTCGGTTCCAATGACCGTTTCGAAGCGCCTCCCTCCGCCGATCAACGTCGCTATATATATATATGTGTGTGTGTATCATAGTTGCCCCTTTTTTATTTTTATTTCCCCTATTTCGGTGGTCGTAAATTTCCGGAGCCGAACACTAGTCACGTGCCCGTCGTAATGACAATAATAATAATATCTAAAGCCAATAACACGGTCCATATAATATCTCGTTCGGTTTTCCGTCGGCTTGTCCCATATAATATTTATATTAATATATTATAATACCATTATGTCACGTCGGAAGGCTAAGCACACAGACACATTGCATTATACATTTTTCTCATCGCCAGACGCTCTCCCCCGCGCTCACTGAGAATTTTTACACGACACGTGTGTGTGTGTGTGTGTGTGTTGTGTGTTTTGTACGGGGGAAAAAAAACAAACAAATATTAAACATTATTATTATCGTTTCGCTGACGGAAATGTCCTGCGGCACATCGCCGATCAGTCCCGTACTAATTATAAAACTACAGCGTCGAAACCGGAAACGGCGGGCACAATGTGTGTGTGTGTATAATATCATAACCGCCAAAAATCCGTAATCGAACCGTTGACAGGTCTTAATATAACACTCTTACGACACGACTAACACAAACGTTTTCCGCGTTTTCGTCTCCTCGATCGGCGACTTATAACGGGCGTTATGTTTAATGTGTTTCTACACATCAGGTTGTATCGTATTAATATAGTACGCATTTTCGAAACAGTCGACGTTGCGCTTGATTCCTACACTATCGTTTCAATATGAGGCAACAAATAATTCGGCCCCCCCCCCTCTTGGACGCTGCCATGGGTGGTTCGCGTTGCGGATTATTTTGTACATAATATTATAAACTATCCGTTACACATGATCATCGTCGTCGTCGTAGACGAATAACATTCTGAGGCCCGCGTAAAAGAGAAAACTATTGTTTTCACGGTTTTTGCGAACCTCCGCGGTCCGCCGACAGTCTTTTAAACGGTTCGTTTGGTTAAATCAGATTATTGTTTTGTATTTTTGAGTGCATTTCGAATAAACGGTAACAAATAACAATAAGACCGGACACGTTTCGTCGACGGAAAAATATAATAAAAGTAAATAATCGTAATATTATATTTTACATCGTTATAACGTCTTAATACGTACATAATATGCCGTGTATACATGACGCGAGGTAATATTTTATAAAACGATTTTCGCTCGCGCTTTAATTACAAATCAAGTAAAAATGAGTAACAACAACAACTGTACTACTAACGATCCCGCGGTCCGCTGCAGTCGTACACCGCGATAACACGGGCGGCGTCTGTGTTTGTATAATTTTATTATTATGTACTTGTGTGCATATAATTTTTTATATTACTCGGGATTATTATTATCGGTTTGGCGCCAGCGACGACGTTTTAATGTGCAAAAATACCATGTACGTACATAATATTACAGTGTTTTAGAGTGCCAAAGTGGCCGAGGAGAGTTAATTAAGAATAAACGCTCGCCGGTTGCACATAACACATAATTATTTATAATAATATCGCTCCAATCGGTGTGTATACATGACGTGTATTATTGTAAATAAATCGACGGCGACCAAGTCAAAAGTCATTACTTACGTACCACCTATAATATCATACATATCAAGTCTTACACACCGACGATGTACTTACGCCCGTGTTCTCTGTTACAAAATACTATTATATCTATTCTCAAAGGTCAACGTGCGAATTATAACGCATAGGATGATGACGTGAAACAGTATAAATTATCGCGTTCCATTCGACAAAAATAACTGGCTTAATAACGAGCTTTGGAACTGCCGACATTGCGCGCAACAGGTGTTCGAGGGGAAAGTACAAAAATAACATTTTCGGTTATATCTACGATAATAATATATTGTAACATACCTACTATAATAAATCTACCTAGATGGTTAGTAGTCAGACATGACGATATGTAACGGGGTTATCACAAATCAATAATAGTTGTAGAATATGGATACAAGACAGTATATTATTATACGTATACAAAGAGCTTTTTGGATTCCGAGAATGAATTATGCATAAACGATGATTAAACGCGCTTTTATTGTATAGTTCACAAATCGCCCACTTTTGAATGTCCAGTCTCGACAATGACATTTTGATGTAGGTAACCTATACAGCAATAGATTTGTATTTCGCGTCGATATCCCGAATTGTTCTATGAAACAAATAGAAAACGCCTTCGAATTGCCATTACGTCAATATATACCGTTGCAATATTAAAGTCGGTCTTTCTCGAATTTCTCGATGCGTCTTCTTCTGCCACCCCCCCCCCCCCACGATACCTGCCATGACGAAAGTTTACTGTATGATATGAAATTTGTCTGAGCATAAAACGTCATTATATAATGTTATTTTCCGTTTGTGTCGACAGATTGTAAAGACTCGGGCACGGGATCGAGCGAGGACGGTGACCGGCCGGGCGCCAATCACACGGGCAGCGAGTGGAGCGAATCGCGGGCCGACAGCGGTCCGGACTCGCCGGAGCTGTTCGAACGGCCGCCGCCACCACACTTCCTGCACCACCCACCGCCGTACCACCACGGCCACTATCCAGGAGCACCGCACCATCCGCCGCCGTCACACCTCGGCCACCACCATCACCATCACCATCCGTCGGCGGCGCCACCGCATCACCGGTTCGCGTCCGTGTCGCCACCGGCCACCGGCGGCGTCGGCGGCGGGCTTCTGCCGTCGCAGAGTAGCGCCCCGAAGCCACGCATTTGGTCGCTGGCCGACATGGCCAGCAAGGACACGACTACCACGACGACGGCCGCGGCCGCGGTCGAGACGACGACGCCGTCCACCCCACCGCCGCCGCCGTCACCGCAGCAGCACCAGCGGTCACCGCACCACCAGCAACTGTCGCCTCCGTCCGTCGGCGGTGCGTCGTCAGGTCACCGACGGCCGCCCGCCGTCCCCGTACCGTCTCTGCCCGCCGGTTACGCGCGCCACGAGCAGCTGTACCGATCGTTCTACGAGGATCCCGCGGCCGCGGCCTATCATGCGCGCGCCTTCGGCGGCGGCGCCGGGATCGTGTTCCAACCGTCCGCGGCCCACCAGCACCATTTGCACCATCACCACCAGCAGCAGCAACTGCACTCGGCGGCCGCGGCGGTCGCCGAACCGTCGCCCGCCTCGTCCTCGTCCGACGCCGAATCCGTCGTGGCCGTCCAGCACGCGGAACGGGCTTGACGAGAAGCGCGGCTCGACCACGCAAACACACGTAAATCCAAAGACAAAACAAAAAAATAAATAAATAAACATTATTTTGTAAATATTAACTATAATAATATTTGAAGTAAACTTTGTAAATAACATATTATTATATATATTTATTAATGAATATAAAGTAAAAAAAAATACACATAATATAATATATGATATGATATAGAAAACGGCATGTATAAGACATTGTGCGGACAATAAAAAAAAAAGTAATGATACTACTGGTAAAAAATTTAAAAAAAAAAAATCAAAATAATTATATTATATATATATATATACGTATTTGCGAGGAAGAAATAATAATATTATACCTAAAATATATAACGCGATTGATACATATTATATATAAAGTTATTATCACGAAGCGAACATTATTATTATATATATTTACGTGCAGGTCGTGTGTACGTGTAGTATGTTATGTTATGATTTATTTTATGCATAATATCAGACATATTATGTACGACTTGTGCAGGTTTCTGAAAAAAATTCGGGGGTTCCGAGCGATGACGTGATGGGTGTGCATATCGGGGGGGGGGGTCGTGGAGTAGAGGCTCTGTCGTATTTTATATATATTTATTATTTATTTCACCGAGAAACTGTGTTACAACAACATTTTGCGGTACTCACTTCGACATTGCTCGTTGTGGTATATAACCTACACAATGTTTTATATTGTATATACGTATACCGCAGTGGGTGTAATAATATATTTATATTTATATCATATTATTATTATGTATAGAGGACAGGCGTACCCCAGTCTGTCCGGTTTCTAAGACGGCTGGACAATCTTTTACATTTGCCGCGGGGACACGAGATATACGATAATATATAAATTGTAATATTGTCATTGCCTATACCTATATATAACTATTATTTTTTTTTCTCGTGCGAGCTGAACCGATTGTTGACGTTCCTTTCTGTATACATGACATTATGTTTTATTATTTTAATTTATTTCCTTTCATCTTATTTTTATTTTTCTCGTTCTAATGTAATAATAATAGGACGTAAACTACGATTTTTTAAAGATATATATATATATATAATAATATATACACACAAACTAGACGGAATGTATGACGAAATAACTACTATATATAATAATAATAATAATAATATTATCTCTTCTCGTGCAGCATCATATTATGTATTGTTTTCCATTTTAGTGTATATTTAGCGGTTTGTACATTGTATTTGTACGATATATAATTATATTTATAGCGGTACGCGATATTATTTTATTTTGTAATTAATTGGAATATAAAAAAAAAACCATTGTTATAGCTTTTAAATTTAAATTATTCTATTATGTTTTTTTTGTGATATTGTAGTCGGTACTTTTCCTAATACATTGTTTTTTCTTAAAAAAAAATTGTTTTTTTTATCCTCTAACAGATCCGCTCTCTTTTTAAATATATTGTTCACTGTAACAGCCAACTACTATATGTATATATACTAGCATATTGTATGCGACGTCATCGTCATCGTCTTTTAAACGAAAACAAGTTTTACGAAGCCGGTGAGTTACACGACACCCCGACATAATATTTTTTCGTTTATTCTCTGAGCAAAAAAAAAAAATTATGTCGTCTTTTCGTTTCGTGGACAGATGGATGGGAAGGTAACGTAAAACGGCACAAACCACAATGCAGATTGTCAACTGTTTTTATTTTTTTTTTATCAAATTTAGTCAATTGCACACTCGCTATACAGTATAATTTACCGTTTACTACAGTATTATACAGTACGGATATCTACACTCTACAGTGACACACACGCCATAGTGGGAAAGTTTATGAAAATAATTAACTGCCTGTGACCAGTGAAGTTAATTACATTAAATTGCATTCATTTAAGTTAAAAGTCAACGAAGAAAAAAATTAACTCGATAAGTTTCAAGTTCAGATGGAAAATAAAACTAACTTGACTCAGTTTCAAAAAGTTGTTTTTTTTTCAATCCACAATAATCATAAGTTTAAACTGCCCTAGTATTTTGATCTACACAAACATTTACCAAGAGACTGTTTCACATTGTAAACATAATATAACACTAAATCGTTATTATATTAATATAGTACATTGTCACCGGAAAGGTAATAACTAATAGCCTTTACTTGTAAAAATTTAAAATTACTTAACTGCACGATAATGATAATTAACTAAAAAAATTAATTAAACAATACAGATTTTAACTGAATAAGTTCATATGTTCAAAACAAATTAAATTAACTATAGTCAAGTTAAAAAGTTTTTAAAAAAAAAAATGAACAATTTTAACAAGTTAATGTCCACCCATACATAATAATAAGGTATATACTGATACCAGCTAACCAGCTAACCATGGTTGCAACTGCAGCTAAGACCTACCAGCCGAGCTGCTTAGCTATATACGGACAAAGATCACTGCAGGTTAGCGTGCACACTGTACTCACGTCACATTTCCGTCGTTCGAGTTTCGAGGGTCAGTTTTTTGAACAGCGACTGTTTAATATTTTGATATGTTATCGTTGAAATGATATTAACAATTGGGACGTGTTACGTACGCTTGTTTTAACGATATAATAATATGTTAACGGTACATTTTCGTGTATCGGCAGCACCCATACGGGTAATAATAAAAATCGGAGTGTAAAATATTATTGTGTTTATTTAATATTGCAGCCCTAATGCACTTGTAGCGTGCAGTGCGCAGGATGACGACACCTCGCAACAATATTTACATATAATCGCAGCGACAGGACAATTTATCAATTTATAAATATTATAATTTACGTGTTGGTACGTTACACACACACATCCAATACAATATTGTATGGGAACACCTAACTTGTACGCATATATGACGTGTACGCACATCACGGTATCGTAAATGTGTGTAGCGCTAAAAAAAACGCTCACACAAATGGCAATCAGATTTCCGATTTTATTTATCGTAGTCGTTTTTTTTTCCTCCAGTCGCGTATAATACGGACACTGCTAATTACGTTATTGTCGTCGAAATCTAAACGGGAAAAAAAAACCAACGATTTATCTCCGTCGCCGTCGCATGCGCGTTATTGGCGTGCAATGTGCAAAACAAACCCGTTGGTCATCGTGGTGTACGCGTGTACAGACGGCGTGCGCGTTTCGCGTAAAATTAAAAAAACGGACAGAAATGCACGAACATATTATTGTATTATTTTGTTGTGCATTACGGTATTAGTGACCATAATATATTATTGTCATATTGTACTACACGCGGGTATGATGCGGCTGCGAAAAACCGTCACCGCGGCGAGGGGAGAAATCACGGCGGTGTGTACAGGTGAATTCGGCGTAAATAAAACACACGCCCGTCTGCGCAGCGAACAATAAATAATAGTATTAAAAAAATTTTAAAAAACCGCCGACGACGACCGGACACAATCGAAAGGTCATCGCCGGCGGTCTCCGGCTCATCCGCGCGGCAGATATTATTTTAACGATAACACGGCGATACGCAATCGTCGATCGTAGCGATTTTTTGCGCGTGCGCGTCAGTACGTACGCGGGTGATCGATTAACACGTCTCAAATCCACAATATGATCGCGATTCACTTTTTTATGTTTTTCATTAGTCGTTGTCGTCACCCCCTAAATTACGCGACCGGTGTACACCGATAGTGCTGCAACCAGGCGCGTTTCGGGTACGATTCCGCTCACTATCTGCTGCCGCACGGGTGGGCTCGGACGATGAGCTACCTATAAATACGCGTGTATCGCGCGTGGACCTCTATACTCCGGACGGACTCCTCGAGAGGGATCGCGCGCACGTAACAACGGACAAACCGACAATAAGCCGTGTTCAATGTAAACACGGGTGGGCGGGGGACGAGGGAAAGACAATCGGTCGGCGTGAAATATTTGCGCTAGGGATATTATTTAATGGCCAATTAAACGCGTACGACAAGAATGTGTGAGCGCATCGCCGCCGCCGCAGCGTGTGTGTGCACATTGTTGCAAAACGCATTCCAAGGCCCAAATTGTGACGGTGGTCGTAAATCACCGCAAGCCACTCGCATGTATATTATTGTTTTACTTTACACACGCGGTGGCGGTATATATATATATTATATATATATATATATATACATGTACCGCTCTCGCTTTGTATATATGTGTACACGTGTGTGTGTGTGTGTGTGTGTGTGTGTGTGTGTGTGTGTGTGTGTGTGTGTGTGTATAGAGGTATACGTCGAAAGGAGGTGAGAATATTTATATATATTTGGTTTTTTTTCCCGTACAGTTGTTTTTTCTCATCGACTTTCAACACCTCCGAAGATGGTTGCGACCAGATAAAGCGGGTTTTTTAACAAATCGACGTGGTGTCGTCGCGTAGACGCGTGTACAACGCGCACATATTATATTATATACCCAATGTATAATATGTGCTCGGCATTTCTGCCGCTGCGGACCACCAGCGGATTGTCTCCAATGGTCCGCTGCGCAACCGGTGGTGGTATGAGTGTACACGACGGTAATATTATGTACCCACATGCAATAATATACAAACGTGTGACGGCAATGGCTACGAAACTCATCATGATTTAGTATCACTGAACACACTAGCGACCCATAATCAAATGTCGTATGACGTATTTTAGGCATACAAAATTATGTGGACGAAAGTCGTGCTTCCATAGACGCGCACCTGAGATTCGAGTGCAGCGAGAGAGGTGAGCATACGTACTTTTTACCGCTTCCTCCCCTCACACTCGAATAACCCAGCTATGGCTAACAATATCACTAATTCGGCTTTTGCGCGCGCCATCGACAGTCGGCAGCCATAGTTACCTGTTGATTTATCGTCGACGTCGATCAAAGGCGATATAGAGCCTACATAAAACCGCGCGGCAGTGCATAAATGTAAAAATTACTTTTATCGAAATAACCGATCGCTACCTAATCGTGTACTGCAACTGTTCGTCATCTGACGTAATAATGGAGTTCTTAAAAACATATATCATAATTGTAATATATTTGTGAAACTATAATAACTTGTATAATGTCCAGCATATAAAAAAATATAGTTTTTCGGTAGGTCTATAGCCCAATTCCCCCCCCCCCCCTAGGCGTGCCGCTGCTTCTGCTGAGCGATAGAAGTGTCGCTAACGAATCTGTCCACTGCCCGAAGATAGTATAAAGCGCGTCGATATATAGGTGATATCGCTATTGTACGGACAATTATTTTATTTATATACTTTTAAGATTTAGCTATGTATTATCGCGGCAGTCCGTCGGGCTGAAATTGATGT